GCTCTGTTGACCTTGGACATTAGCTAAGTTTCTTGTTTCTTTTTAAGTATATTTAAAATAATATTTTTGGTGAGCTTTTTAAAATTTGTTTCTTGGACATTGCTGCTAAAAGTTTCTCACTTTAATGAATTTCTTTTTATAGTGTTGGGTTTCTTGACCTTCTTTTATAACTTGGGCTTAAATGGTAGCTACAGGGTCTAAGTGCACAGGCACCGTTGTTACCCTGGGTAGCAATGGTGCCCTTCAAAGGGTCAGTTTAGAAGTCTCTTCCTGAGGCCAGCATTCAGGTTCCAGAGCCGAAATGGGAAAATGATTTCAGAGCCCCGTTCTTCTTCCATTTACATAGTCCTGTAAGTTTCAGTGATCAGATCAGGTCTGTAGTGGAAGTTGTTGGCGCTTTGGAAATGGGCTGTGACATGGATATTTCAAGTACTTACTCTTCTGTCTTCCAGCCCATGGAGAACTCACATGCAACCACAGGACCTGGTACCAAGATGAAGTGTTCAGTTAACCCACTAAAGCTGTCTGGTCCTATTCCCTAGCTACACTGGGGTCATCCCTCTAGGCTTACTCGTTCTAAAACATGTATAAGTTCAACCTAAAGTTGTTGCTGGATGTCTGTGAAGTCATGACTCATCTCCTAATGCCGCCTACCAAAAGATAGGGTATAATTTGTGCTTTTATCATAGTTTGGCCTTCCAAAGCATCACTGGAACTTTTCTCTTCATTGGGTCGCTTCATTGAGTAATTCATGGAGAAAACCCTGAATGAGGCTGTGGTGTGAGAATTACATGATGCTCACTTTCGTGGAGTGATGGCTGACATGGGTGTATAAGGAGCTGCTGGCAGAATGGTTAACATTGGATCTGGAGTGGGATGAAGATTGGGGGGGGGTCTTGTAATTTATCCCTGATCTTGTTTATTACCTAGTGGTCCTTTAGAAGGAAGGCAGATGGCAGTATCAGTTTTAGTTTCAAGCAAATGTTTGCCCCGGTTTGGTGTAACGTCGCCTCTGTATCTGTCTGATGCCCAATCAGTGTGCAAGGAAAGGGGACTGTGGGGAAGTTTGATGTGAGGAAAGAGGGCCCCTGATTTACTCCTCATGCCCTTTTACTCCTCATGCTGGCTGAAGAGGTTCACCCTGTCCACGGTTGCTGACACAGTTGGCATGAATGCTGGATCTGCACGGTGTGTAAGGGTCCCTCTTCTCAGCCCCTCCTTACGACCCCCCAGCATCCCAGCGGCAGAGCCCTCCCTGCAGGGTGCCCAGGGATAGCTCAGTTTCTCCCTTAGCTCACACTCCACTTGCCCTCTCTTCCCTTTCTGTCCATCCCAAAATTTTGTCACCCAGTGAACCACTTACCAAAGACTACTTCAAAGTTTGTGTGTTGGGGAGCTCAGCCCACTGAGAAATCCTTTGAGCTATTTGCTTGCCCACTAGAAAATCTGACATGATGTCCCTCAGATTAAATGAAGGTGAATTTAAAAATTTTTAATTTATTTTTTTATTAATGAAAGTTTATTCACTTTGTATCCTCCCTTGTCCCCTCCCAATCCCACCCTCCCTCCCTTTTTTCCTTCCATGCTCCTTCCTTAGTCCACTGATTAGGGAGGTCCTCCTCCCCTTCCATCTGATCCTTGCCTATCAGGTCTCATCAGGACTGGCTGCATTGTCTTCCTCTGTGGCCTGGTAAGGCTGCTGCCCCCTCAGGGGGAGGTTATCAAAGAGCCAGCCACTGAGTTCATGTCAGAAACAGTCCCTGTTCCCATTACTAGGGAACCCACTTGGACACTGAGCTCCCATGAGCTACATCTGTGCAGGGGTTCTAGGTTGTTTCCACGCATTGTTTGGAGTATCAGTCTCAGAAAAGACCCCTGGACCCAGATTCTTTAGTTCTGTTGATCTTGTAGAGATCCTGTCCCCTCTAGGTCTTTCTGTCTCTCCCTTCTTTCATAAGATTTCCTGCACTCTGCCCAAAGTTTGGCCATGAGTCTCAGCAACTGCTTTCATACACTGCTGGGTAGAGTCTTTCAGAGGTCCCCTATGGTAGGCTCCTGTCCTGTCCCCTGTTTTCTCCTTCTTCTGATGTCTATCCTGTTTGCCTTTTTGAATGAGGATTGAGCCTCTTAATCAGGGTCCACCTTCTTGCTTAGCTTCTTTAGGTGTACATATTTTAGTATGTTTGTCCTATATATCTAATAACCACTTATAAGTGAGTATATACCATGTGTGTCTTTCTGTTTCTAGGATACCTCACTCAGGATGATCTTTTCTAGTTCCATCCATTTGCCTGCAAATTTCTTGATGTCCTTGTTTTTAATTGCTGAGTAGTATTCTATTGTATAGATGCACCACAATTTCTGTATTCATTACTCTGTTGAGGGGCATCTGGGTTGTTTCCAGATTTTGGCTATTATGAATAAAGCTGCTATAAACATGGTCGAGTAAATGTCCTTGTGTACTTGAGCATATTTTGGATATATGCCTAGGAGTGGTATAGCTGGATCTTGAGGTAGCACTATTCATAATTGGCTGAGAAAAAGCCAGACTGATTTCCAAAGTGGTTTTACAAGTTTACATTCCCACCAGCAGTGGAGGAGGGTTCCCCTTTTCCACATCCTCTCCAGAATGTGCTGTCACTTGAGTTTTTGATCTTAGCCATTCTGATGGGTGTAAGGTGAAATCTCAGGGTCGTTTTGATTTGCATTTCCCTGATGACTAAGGATGTTGAGCATTTCTTCTTTAAGTTTTTCTCTGCCATTCAGTATTCCTCTACTGAGAATTCTCTGTTTAGCTCTGTAACCCATTTTTAAATTGGATTACTTGGTTTGTTGGTGTTTAACTTCTTGAGTTCTTTAAATATTCTGGATATTAGTCCTCTGTCAGATATAGGGTTGGTGAAGACCCTTTCCCAGTCTGTAGGCTGTTGTTTTGTTCTGATGACAGTGTCATTTGCTTTACAGAAGCTTTTCAGTTTCATGAGGTCCCATTTATTGATTGCTGATTTTTGAGCCTGTGTTATTGATGAATTCTTTATAGACCTTGAAAGAAAAATTCTCAACTTCATATGGAATAATAAGAAACCCAGAATAGCTAAAACAGTCCTCTACAATAAAAGATCTTCTGGAGGTATCTCCATCCCAAAAGTACATGGCACTGGCATAGAAACAGACTGGTGGATCAATGGAATCGAATAGAAGACCCAGAAATAAACCCACACACTTATGGACACCTAATTTTTGACAAAGAGGCCAAACCACACAATGGAAAAAAGATAGCTCCTTAACGAATGGTGCTGGTCTAACTGGATGTCTACATGTAGAAAAATGCAAATAGATCCATACTTATCACCCTGCACAAAACTAAAGTCTGAGTGGATCAAAGACCTCACCATAAACCAAGAAACAGTAAACCTGTTAGAAGAAAAAGTGGGGAAGAGCCTTGAACTCATTGGCACAGGAGAGATGAACTTTTTTATGTCATTAAAATGAAGAAAAAAGTTACAGCTAAACTGATATCTAAAACAAAAGTAGAATAATCTTGGTTCACTCTCTCCCTGTCTGAACTTGGGATGCTGTTTTTATTTGTTTGGAGACAGGGGTCTTGCTCTGAAGGACAAGCTGGCCTAGAACTCATTATGAAGATCAGACTGGTGTTGACCTCATGTAAAATCCTCCTGCCTCAGCACCCCATATTTAGAATTATAGGTGTAAACTATCATGCCCAGCTGGGATTTCAGATGTGGATGAATGCATCTTACTTCACGTTGGTGGTCAGAAGACATCATCGGACATCTTTCTCCAATAATTCTAAGAGCTGATGGCATAGAGGAAAGGAGGAATATAATGGTGTTGTTTTGAACTGGCTACTCACATCTTTGTATTTTCCTTTGAGATCTGTCCTTACAGAACTCTGAAGCCCTGGCTCGGACTGTCTTGCTTGTGCCACTGTCGTGGCAGACATTACTTAAGGAGACCTTGAGGGAGTTGCCTGGCAGCAGCAGCGCTGCTTCTAGAGGTATTTCCCTTCTCTGTAGTAGGCTCAACCAGCGTGGGCCTTATGGAGGGGATGAGCGAGGTCATTTTGGATTGCCCAATCCAGGGTGGAAGAAGAGAATTAGGAGGCTGGATGAGGTGGCGTTCATGATGAAATGTTAGTGACACCCAGAGAGGAGTTGAAAACTTGGGGAGAAATAAAGAACAAAACAAAACAAACAAAAACAAAACAACAACAAACAAGCAAACAAAAAACCCTACATGCAGACAGCTTTCTGTTTTTTTTTCCCTGAACCTTGCACAGAAGTGAAGGATGCATTCCCCGGGGGACAGCCTATGCTTTTGGCCTGGACTTCTGAAGGATTTGTAGGCTTTTTCTAAAGGCTGGGCCATCATCCAGCTAAGATTAGTATGTGGGGAAGGGTGGGTGCTGGTGGGATTAAAGTGAAAGAAGACATAAACTGTGCAAGAACTGGGTCTCTTAACTCCTCAGGTGTGTTGACAGTCAGTGGGCTTGGTGGGCCTGAGCTATGGGCTCCCTGCTGTTTGGAAAGGGCGTTTTGGTGACAACTCAGAGATACATTGAAAATGTGTTTTTGAGAAGAGACGTACCTTGACGGTCTATGCAGCCTATACAGCCGTTCTGGGTGTGGAGAGGGGCTTATGCGGACTAGGGGTAGAAGGGTTGGAGCACTAGGTGGCCATGTGGGCACAGAGCTCCCTAAGGGACGGGGCCTCTGGGCAGCCAAGAACTGGGAAGGGCGCCGAGGCATGGTGCCAGGCACTGCACGGCAGCGAGCGTGGTACAGTGGGGCGGCCCTTGGGGACCCCGGGGAGGACCGAGACGGGGAGGGGACGTGCAAAGATTGAAAGTGGGGAAGACCAAGCCAGCGGGCAGGCGGGCGCCCTGGCCGGGGTGTAGGAAGCTGGGCGGCGCGGGCGGAGCGGAGGGCGGAGGCGCGGGGCGCGCGTTTGGGGCGCTGCGGCGGGGAGGGTGGCGGCCGCTGGGGCGCGCGGGCCTTGTGTGCGCGCTCTGCCGCTCCAGGAGGAGGATGGCCCGGGAGGGAAAGTTGGGGTGACGCGCCCTGCCCCCGGACGCTCGCCAGGGGGCACGGAGGCGAGCCCGACAGAGCTGTGGCCACCCAGGCTGGGGGCGCGCAGTCTGGGCACCACCGTCACCACGTTCGCCCCCTCACTGCAGGTGGCCGCGGGAGCTCCGAGTCCGGGTGTCCCGGGGGCGCGGGCGGGCGCGCGCGCGGGGAGCCCGGCTGAGGGATGGGCTGCGCCCCCAGCATCCATGTCTCGCAGAGCGGCGTGATCTACTGCCGGGACTCGGATGAGTCCAACTCGCCCCGCCAGACCAGCAGCCTGTCGCAGGCCCCCACGGTGCCCCTGCACGGCCTCTTCGTGCAGACCGACGCCGCCGACGCCATGCCCCCGAGCCGTGCTCCTGGACCCCCGGGCGCCGTCCGAGTCCGCAGGTCCCGGGCCGAGCTGGGCAGCGGCAGCAGCACCGGGTCCTCGGGCCCCGCCGTGACCACCTGCCGGGGCCGGAGGCGCCACTGCTGCAGCAGCGCCGAGGCCGAGACCCAGACCAGCTACACCAGTGTCAAGGTAAATGCGCTCTGTTGGGGGGCTGCCCGTCGGGTCGCACTGGGTAGGGGGCTCGTAGGAGTTGGGCGATCCATTGGGGTGGGGGGAGTGTTCCTAAGGAGTTTACTTTTCATTTTTGCCGGTGGTGAAGGCCTAGGGAATTAGGGAAGAAAAAGATCCCGGAGGGTGCAGGGGAACAACCCTAGCTGGTCCTGAGGTGGGGACACGTGTGGAGTGGGGCGGAAGGGGAGGCAGTTAGGGCGGCCTGTTTCTCGCTGAGGGAGGGCAGCCCGGTGGATGTAGCTGGAGTGATGGGTACGCATCACCGAGAGCATGCGGGTTCCTCTGAGTGAAATCTGAGAGCTGAGCTGGATCTGCAGGATCCCAAGCACCAGGATGTTTGGTGCCCCGGCTGCGATTTTCACCTGCCAGTCAGCTGGATGGAGTTCTCAGCGGAGTGGCCCAGTGCGGAGATTTGTGAATGAAGCAGGCTGTTTATGTTCGAAGAGCTATAGAAAGGGACTAGGGGAGAGCCAAGTGGAACCTGTTGTCACTCCAGTATTTCTCTGGGATGTCTGTATCCTAGATGTGACTGAAAGAACCCAGAGTTTGGAATGCCAGCGGTTCAGGGCAGCTGCCTTAGGATGTGATTCTGCACACATCATCCCGGGGCGCGGGGGGGGGGGCAGGAATGGGATTGTGAAGATGTAGAAAAAGATGGTTAAAGCAGTCTCTAGATAGTTCTTGACGAAAATGTATTCCAACAGTGACCATCTCTATGTTTTCAAAGTACTATTACATCCGGGAGAGTGTCACATTAATTGCTTTATAGAAAATTGAAGGGCAATGGCACATCTCATCGTGCAGAGGGAAAAATATGTCTCTAAACTCTTAGTGTTTAGACACAGCTCCTACGTAGTCAGTAGATGACCAGGGCCCATCTCATGAGTCCTTGACAAAGACATGATTCTATATCTAGTGGTTAAAAATCTGCTCAACAGTTGCCCCAGTGTAGTAGGCTCTGGGTCTCCCCTGGATGCAGCTCACCCACCCTGGAGGAAAGGGAGGAAGAGGGGCTGCCTTTTGATGAGCTGAATTTTTGTAAAACGTGTTTTCATTTTGCTGCATAAAACTTTACCAGTGTTTACTAGTAGCTGTGATGGTTCTCTGATAATAATTGTGAACACCATTAATATAAAAATACCATTTACTATGTACCTACTATGTGCCAGGACCAGGCTTCTTTTCTTGCTTCTGATACCAACAGTCCGAGACCTGGACCCAATGGGATGTTTGCTACAGCGGCAAGCGGGGGCCACCACATTTACTTTTTTGCTTCTTTCTGGTTCTCCTGCCAAGCAGCAACATAAAGTTAGCATTAGAAGAAACTGCAAAGTGTTAAAAAGGCTATATTTAGCAACATCTTAACTTGGGGTTTTGAAAGGGAATTTTAAGGCCTGAAGCTGTAGCTGAGCACGGTGACTGCTCATGAACTCTGTGGTATTTCGTTCTGGTTGCTCAAGAGAAACTTACGTATTTTTGCCTTTCATAGTAGCAAGGAACTCATTTTTAGTACCTGGCAACCCCCGCTACTTGGTGTTTGTGTAGTCAAAGAAAAAAAACGATGAATGAGACCATTTTCCTACATCTTAGTGCTCTTCCTCAAGAGGCTACTTAGAAACCAAATGGAGAGAAAAGGAGTCCTGACTATTAGCAGTTATTATAAACTGGAATAAATCTCATGCTACTTGGTTTAAGTGTTAAAAGGCTTGACCTAGGAAGGAATTTAACTAACTTCATCAACAAGGTTTCCAAACAAGAGCTTAATTTATTCCAAGTCATTACTAGGAATGCTGAAGAGGATAGTAATAGTTCAGTGATTCAACTTGAATTTGTATTATATGAACTTCAGAAATTATAATTTGAAATTGATCAGGTGTATTTATACAAGCACTATAGAACTTATAGAATTATCCCCAAATGCTTAATAGTATCTATTTAGCGCCCCCCCCCCCAATTTCTATGGTTCCTTCTCAACTGGAAACTTCACATGTTCCGTGCCCTATATGGATGAGGTGATTTAAATTTTTTTTCCTTTCACTTTTTAGGATAAGAATTCTTTCTCTCTGAGTGTGTGATGGTTGGCAGCCATGTGCCTCCTCTTGTCTTTCTGACTGCTTGGGTAGAAAAAGAAAGTCTTTGCCATTTGGTCCTATTTACGGCACTGGCTGGTTTCTCAATAGTTATTTTTCTCCTTCCTCTTTGTACATCAATGATAAACAATGTCTTCATTATCTAGTTGGCTTCTGGTATTCCCCTGAGTGCAAAACAAAAAGTGTGTTTGATCTCTCTCTTTTTCTAGCAATAATTTACTTCATTAAGCTTTTAGAATGATGAAGCATTATGATGTCAAACATGATGTCAACAGGAACCTTCTTGAATACCTAATTGGCAAAAAAAGGATTATAAACATTAATAATTCATATGCAGTGCAATGATATCACATGAGTTTCCATTTCTGGTAAGGAATTTGTCTCCAAGTTGCTGTAAAAATGCAACTTCCTAGCAATTTGTCTCCCTCTTGCTTGTCTTTTTAAGACAGTGCTCCTACAGGGTGCTCTCCTGATGCGTGCCAGTTCTGTAGTTCTGGTTCAGAAATCCTCAGAGGAGACAATTGAACGTCTCTTGGGCAGGAACTAGGAATTCTTACCAGTCTTTCCTTGTACCAGCTGTTGTTGCTTGGAGCATCCAGGACCAAGCAGCCAGTCCCAGCATAGGCTTTACTGATGGTGTCCTCAACTTTGTCCATGTTCAGCACAGGTGAACTGTCTTACAGATGCAGGTGCAGAGGCTGTCATCAGCCTGTAGAGGACTCAGTGCTGATGGCTGCCCCTTGCTCTTCTAGCCCCTTCACCATGCTCATTCCTTCCTTCAGCTGGTTTGTATGCCAAGCTCTACTATAGATGCTGGGGATTCAGGAAAGAGCCATAATATTTAGTGAGCTTCCAAAGCAATGTGCTTAAACCAGTTTCTGATGACTTCCTTAGCATTGCTCCATGACATTCTAGAGTCGGTGGATAATGCTAAATTGACTTTACATAAAAGGAAAGTAAATATTTATGTGACATCACAGTAAATAATAAGATTTTATTAGGGGTAGGGGAGACTAGAGTTCCTTTTTATAGTAGTTCTTGTTTTTCTAAGTCATGACTCTCAAGCAAGAATTACCTGGAGAGCTTATTAAAGAATATAGTGGGCCTGGGCTCCACCCCTGGAGTATTTGATTTCATAGGTCGTTGGAGGAAGCTGAGAGCTTGAAGTTTCTGTGCTTTTAGAAGATGCCTTGTTGCTGATCTGGGGGCCATGCTTAGAGAGCTCATGCTTTAGATGAATTAAGTTGTTCTATGGCCCAGATAACTTATGTACAGCCACCTATAGCGGAGTGTACTGTCATATGGCTTTGGACACAGCTCTCTCCATTTATGCTGTCAAATCCTGAATCTTTATAGTCATCTGTAAAGTCTAAGTGGGAAGAATGCTGAGCCATTTAGCCCACTCAGGTTTCTTGAGGTTCAGTTCCCCCACAGGATCATCTTGGTTTTGTGTGAACCTTGATGGTTTGTTTTCCCATCATGGTCCCTTCAGCTGCCTCTGTCATGGAGGGACCATGCCCCTCGTGATGGGTAATTGCAAGGCAAGGGACAATGCTGGAATAGGGTTGGCTGTTGGATAGATAGCTACATTGTATGTTCTTCATTCTTGGGGTGGTTGCTATTCTTTTCATCATAATATAATTATTATTATTATTTATCTCAAAAAAGAGCATGGCATTTGGCAAGGTCTGGCAGGCTCTATACTTTGTTAGCCAGGCCCAGATTTACTTTCTTCCATTATGCATTTTACCTCAGTTCTTCCCTCTCCCAACATGCAAATTAGGTCCAGTGTTTGCTCTCTTCTTTTTCTTCTGTGCTGGGAGTTGAACTTATAGTCGCTTACATGTGAGGCATGCTTTGCCGCTGAGCTGTTTCCGGCCCAAGTGATCCTCTTTAAATTATTTTCCTTGCTTTGTACTTTTTAAAGAAAACCAGAGAATTCTGCTTTTTTAACACATTTGAGTAAGACTTAAAATCAGAGCAGTGCAGTGGTAGAGCACCTTTAATCCCAGACCTTGGCGTGCAGAGGTAGGGGGTTCTGAGTTTGAGGTCCGGCCAGCCTACAGAGAGAGCTCCAAGAAAGGCATGGCTGCACAGAGAAGACATGCTTCAAAAAACAAAACACAAAACAACACAATAACAACAACAAAAGACTTCAAATCAGAATGTGACATTGTGCATTTAGAGGTGAGACAGTCTTTACCGACATCTCCCCTTGGCGACCACCTGATGAAGCTCTAATGGGATAGGAAATAGAGGTGAGGGTAGGACTGGTTCTATGACGCCAAGCTGGTAATGGGTCAGGAATGTAAACAGCAAGGAAAGCGTGAGTCCTGTAGCCCGGTAGGAATACAGAGTCTCAAGACCCAGCAGCAGCACGAGAGGAACAGGTGGGAACTTCGGGTCAGTTGGGTCAGTACATCTAGAATTCAGAGTCTTCACAGAGGTGACAGCCACTGAGCCAGGTTGAGGTTTCTGATGGCAGAGTACAAGTATTTACTTTCTTCTTTTGTGGGGAACTGGCATGGGCATGTAGCGTGCATGGCCACAGGAACTGCTGCAGCCAACCAGAGGCTAAAGACAACTACTTCTCTTGGATGAGGTAAGACAAGCCAGCCACACTGCCCTCTCAACCTGATTCAACACAGCCTGGGCAGCAAGCAGAACACACATGAGATAATGACCTCATGAAGGAACTCCTTCTAAGGTGTTGGCAGGAGGAAAGAGAGTAAACACATGAGGCTGCAGGACCTTCAGACTAGAAAAAAGAGAACTGCTATCACAGTAGAAGGATCATGGGTGATGGTTTCAGAAACTAAATGTATAGGGCATTTAGAACTTGTGGCCTGAAAGAGTGATGTGAAAGAT